TGTGGTGTGGTGTGGTGTGATATGGTGTGGTGTGATGTGGTGTGATGTGATGTGGTGTGGTGTGGTGTGAGTTAAGGTGTGGTATGATTGGTGATGTGTAATGAGTTGTGAAACGTGTAACTGTTGTATCGTATTCTGTTCTATCTAAGACTTTGTGCTGTAGTGTGATGCATTGAAGTGTTGCCCTGTGTGATTTGATATGTTGTGTTTGTCGGGTTGTGACGCGTTTCAGAGAGGTACCCCTTGTACCGTGATATGTGCTGTGCTGTTGTGCGACGTCAGGGGATATGGGGGAATATAGTTTGGTTTGAGACGATGTTACGTGTTATACATTGTAATGTGGTTTCGTGTTGTGTTATGCAATGGAATGGAATGGAATGGGATAAACGGCTACCTTTCGAGATGGCGCAAGGGACTGCGAAAGGGACTATACGGAAAAGGGGTTTTATTTATTTATTTTATTTTATTTTTTATTTTTTCATGCTGTTAATCTATTGGCCTTAGTTGATTGATCAGCGATGCGGAGGTAACGTGGAACTAGTGGATGTACTCTTGGCTAGTCTCCTTGGACGGCTTGTCGACACATCTCAAGTAGTTCGTCAATATTGTATTCGAGGTCTTGGTAATGTGTCCAGTGCTGGAGACAACAAGGTGCGCAATACACCAAACACGAGAAAGAATGTTTCCCAAACCAAAACCAAACATTATTGAATTTGATCGAATTCAGAAATAACCTCTGGGCTGATCTAAGTCAGGGTATGGTTAACTCACAGATGGAACCCTAAAACAACCTCTGGGCTGATCTAAGTCAGGGCATGGTTAACTCGCAGATCAAACCCTGAAATAACCTTTGGGCTGATCTAAGTTAGGGCACGGCTAACTCACAGATAGAACCCTGAAACAACCCTCTAGGCTGATCTAAGTTAGGGCACGGCTAACTCACAGATAGAACCCTGAAACAACCCTCTGGGCTGATCTAAGTTAGGGCACGGTCAACTCACAGATTGAACCCTGAAATAACCTCTGGGTTGATCGAAGTCAGGGCACGGGTAACTCACAGATTGAATTGGAATTTAGCTTGTTGGGTTTCACAGAAACTGATTTAATGTGTTTTAACTGAGTAAAAGGAAAACCACAGAATTATTAGAAAAATCCTCGAATTATAGAAAATAACGAACAAACACCCTTAAAAAGACAAAGGGCTAATTGGTAAGCCGATGATCCATCCTACCTGAATATGGACCAAATTGACGTTTTACACCTAGCTAATTTACCACGGTCCTTATCAAAATATCTTTTCAAATTGAAATGTTAAAACTCCTTAGCATAACAAAAAAAAAGCCGCTTAGGCTACCGAAAGAGATTATGGAAGCCTAGGTATACAACGCGTCATCATGCTGCAGGGCTATTATTTCCATTTGTGTCATTATTTTTGTAATTGTCTTTTTCTTTCTCCTTCAACTTTTCCATTGCTTTTTGTCACTTCTCTCTTCCTCTTCTATCTTATTTTCACTTTTCATTTCCTCATCTTTTCCTTTATTTCTTTCTTTCTTTTCTCACAGGTTGAGCAGCATTCCACAACAATACTGTCCGCCATGATGGCAGGAATGGACGACAAAGATGACCCTGAAGATGAAATCACCCTGGAATCAATGTCTGGTCTGTCTAAAGTACTGGCCAAGCTAGATGAGAACAATGTCAGACAGATCCTCATTAATATATGTCTGCGTGTCAGGCCTTGCTTTGAGAAGGTGAGTGAACTTAAGTTTTGTACTTCTTCTGAAATTCCTGGAAAATTTCCAAGACTGAATTCCTGGCAAATCGCTGGAATTCCTGGCAGATTGTTGGAATAGACGACTTGCACTAAGAGGTCACGTGATCAAATCGGCCATTGTGGCTGGCATTTTACAGGCTTTTAGCTATGCGAGAATGTAAAAAAAGATGGCGGATTCGGGTAGTTTTTTGGGTGACAAAAGGTAAGTTAGCGCACTAACTAACTATGCAAATCCCCTTTTCTTGCAAGAAATATATTCTTAGTAGATATCTTAAGTAGATTTTTGCTATTAACTCGCCAGGAAGAGAAAAAATATGGTATTTTTTGCGCTACAATGTGAAGACCTACGAAGTGTTTAGTCTTGTTTTGCCGGCTTCATGACCTCAAAACAGCGACTTCTTGTCGAAACATTTCAAGTATATTTCAACTTCATTCTTGAAAACTGCATTTTCTTGCAAGCAATATACTTTTAATAGATATTTTAAGTATAATTTTGCTATTAATTCGCCAGGAAGAGGAAAAATATTGTATGCTTTGAGGTCATGAAGCCAGAAAAACCATACTAAACACTTCGTAGGTCTTCACATCCTATTGCAAAAAATTCCATATTTTTTCTCTTTTTGACGAGTTAATAGCACAAATCTAATTTAGACATCCACTAAGAATATATTTCTTGCGAGAAAAGGGGATTTTTATAGTTATTTAGTGCGCTAACTTACCTTTTATCACCCAAAAAACTACCCGAATCCGCCATCTTTTTTTTTTAATCCTGTAGAATGCCTTGAAAATTCTCAGATCGGTATTAAATATATTTATAAAAGGTCAATGGTAATCTTTTTTAAATTCCTGGAATTTTCACATTTTGGTATAGGACTCTGCTAAACAAATTTATAAAAGTTCTATGGTAATTTTTTTGTGTAACTTTTTTTCTGCAGGATAAAGCAGCAGTGCGAGCAGCAGCATTCATCTTGTTTGGCAAGCTGGCCCGGTTTGGTGATGGTCCATCAAAGACCCCATTTCTAGAACAGATCCACACCAACTTCATTAGCGTCTTGCTGCATCTGAACGAAGAAAAAGAAGTTGCTAAGGTATTGTTATGTCATGTTACATTATGGTAATATGCCATGTGATGTCGTGTCGTTCGTGTCGTGTCGTGTCGTGTCGTGTCGTGTCGTGTCGTGTCGTGTTGGGTTGGGTTGGGTTGTGTTAAGTTAGGTTGGGTTGAATTGTGTCGTGCGTGTTGTGGTATTTTATTTTATGTTATGTTGAGTTGTATGATGCGATGTGATGTGATATGACGTGACGTGGTGTGCCAAGTGATGTGGCGTGACGTAATGTGATGTGACGTGATGCGATGTGATGTTACGTGCGTGACGTGACGTGATGCGATGTGATGTGATGTGATGTATGTGATTCTTTTGTAAATGTACTTATATTTATATTTTTCTCTGTTGTAATCTTTGGTATAAATAAAGCACATTGTATTGTGATGTGATGAGATGTGATGGGGTGGGATGTGATGTGATGGAATGGGATGGGATGGGATAGGATGGGATGGGATAGGATGGGATGGGATGGGATGTGATGTGATGTGACATAATTTGACGTCATGTGTTGCGATGTGATGTAATATGACGTGATGTGACGTGACGTGACGCAATATTAAATTACATGACATGACAAAAATCCAAAGCTTCACAAAGAATGATAAAATGGGTAACCTGCTAATAAGGTCAATATTGTTGTCATGTTTGCAGGGATGCAAGGAATGCCTGCGGTCTATTGGCCCGTTGATGGGGTCAGAACAAATCAACGCCATGTTCCAGAAGCATCTGATAGAAGAGGGAAATCTTCACTATGGGGAGTTCACAAACGATCTCTCTCGACTGATAGTAAGATATATTTACTAAAATACCACCATCACCTCGGCATCCATTTTTTTCAGGGGGATGTTAAATTAACGATTATTCGGTGAATATTGGGAAATATTTACCAATCCGCGAGTCTTTTTCACTGAGCCTGAGGAGAATAATTGTTTTGGCATTATTTTAGACCCGAATATCTGAGAAAAGACGAAATTTAGGATAAAAATGCGTTTTAGTATTACTTCCGCCGCTCAGGCAAACTTTGGAAAACCTCATAATCACCATTCGAGTAATGATTATCGTCTCAGAATCACTGGTCGCTCGACCAATCACAGCGCGCGAAACTCGATATTCAAGTCTAAAATTAATGTCTAACACCCCTCTTTGGAATCAAGAGTGGTGTAGTAGTAGTCCACTCATCTCTTACCTCTTGGGTCTCGCGTTTGATTCCTGGACTTGGCATCACATGCATTAGTGAATCAAGAGTGGTGTAGGGGTAGTCCACTCATCTCTCACCTCTTGGGTCTCGTGTTTGATTCCTGGACTTGGCATCACATACATTAGTGAATCAAGAGTGGTGTAGGGGTAGTACACTCATCTCTTACCTCTGGGGTCTCGGGTTTGGTTCCTGGACTTGGCATCACGTGTAAGTAGAGTTGTTTAGGTCTCTCCCTTAATTCGAGGGCTTTTCTCCGGTTTTCCTCCCCCCACAAAATCCAACGCTAACCAATGCTATCAAGGCTGTGGAAGAAGAAAGCTAAACATGTTCATATCACGGTAGTTATTTGGTTGGGTTAATTAACACACCAAAAAAGTTCCAATAGTTTTTGGCTTTTTCTTCCACAAGATCGCTGATTTTCCTGACAAAGTGAACTTCTACGTTATGGGCTGTGTGTCCTTCTTCAAGAGTAGCAGAGATGATATCAAAGCTAGCGCTGCTATCTTCGTAGGTAAGTGAACTGGTAATGGTCTTAACATAGATGATATGCTAGTTCTGATAGGTGGGGACGTTAAACTGTTTGTTTTCTTTTTTTATCCAGGTTTTCTTCTCGGCAACCTCCCAGTGGATAACCGAGATGATATATCAAAAGACCACGTTTGTGGAGGTAAGCTTTTTTAAACACTCCTCTATTTATCTAAAGAAATAGCAACGTTTTCATCTCACTTGAATGATCTATCTTGATTCATGACGATTCATTTATTCATTTATTCATTCATTCATTTATTTATTCATTTTTTAATTCTTATTTTCATTTTTTATTTATTTATTTTATTTATTTATTTATTTAATTTTTTAAAATTATTTTATTCATTTATTTTATTAATTCATTCATTCATTTATTT